ACTATGGGAATACTCCTCCTGAACATGAGGATCTATGCTGTCTTTCATTGGACCTGACTGTGGTTTGATCTTGCTGATTGTCATAGCCTGCTTAGGAACGCCCATTGGCTTTCTTTTCCCTTTGCATGCCATCTACACTACTCTTACATAGCAATCGCGAGATTCACGCTGAGACCCCTTGACTTCCTCACATCCTATTGGAGTAGGAAATTTCATCTTCAGATGATAGATGAAAGTGACAGCTTTAAAATTTTGGAGTAGAGGTCGTCCCAATATGCCATTAAAAGCGAATGGATAGTCTGCCACTAGAAATTCTGTCATCTTAGTCACTTCGTGGGTCTCACCCAAAGTGATAGGAAGTGCAATTATTCCCTTGGGAATAAGATGATCCTCAATAAAGTCATAGAGGGGGATAGAGGCAGGCTTCAGATCTTCCTCTTCCAATTGCATTTCCTTGAATGCTCGCTGAAATAGGATGTTCACGGCGCTCCCATTATCCACCAACATTCTATGGAATCAACCTATTTTAGCCGCGATGACGAGTACATCCTCATGAGGGTACGCAATCGTACGATGAATTTCTCTGAGAAGGTAATTTCTTCCTCTCTATGCACCTTAGCAAGTTGCGGCGCCGTGTTTAATACACTCATGGGATCATAACGAGCTTCTCGAGTGTACTTCTCCAGAGCACCTCAAGAATTCTTGGCGAGGTATGGTCCTTCGAATATAATCCCAATGAAGTAGAGACCCTTGTGACCACGATGCCTCTTCCCATCGGCCTTTTGGTCCAACTCCCACTCCTTCTCCCGAGTAGGAGTTGGACCATCAACATACTTCTTTAAGTACCCCTTTTTAATGAGGTCTTCAATAGCCTGCTTAAAAGCTCGACATTCATCGGTATGGTGTCCATTATCTCGATGATAATGACAATACTTCTTGTTATTTCTTATAGAAGGAGGATTTTTCATGGGCTCTAGCTCTCCGAGCAGATTAACTTATTCTGATTTATCCAAAATAGTTGATACCGATGCATTCAATGAAGTGAACAAATTCTTGTCGCGATCACGACGAGGGACTTAGACATAAGATTTCTTGGGCTCGAACCGTTGTTTTCTTCCATTTCTCTGATCGTCATTAGCCCAGTTGCGATCAGATCTTCTACTACTCTCCCCTCGATTTTTCTTCCTCGGATTGAGAGCGTTGGTCAAAGGATCGGGGTAATGGCAGTTCAAAGCAGCCACGAAAGTTTTAATCCTAAGATATTTCTCACTGAGGTTGTAGAAGCGAGTGAGGGAAATATCGTCCTTAGATTGCAGTTTCTTCCACAAGTCAATTTGCGGAAGAATTCTTGCAATAATAAGAGTTTGAACTGAATCTTCGGGTGTATTAGCCACCTTATTCAGCTCCCTATGGAACTTGTCGATATAGAACTGAAGGGATTCATTCTTCTCATGCCGTATGTTGCTAAGATAGCTCAATGGCATTGAGAACTTCTAATTAGCCTAAAAGTGTCTAAAAAATAATGAACTCATCTGCTGCCACGAGTTTATAGATCCTGGTAGAAGCGATCTAAACTAATGCTTAGCATGGGTAGTCAAAGTCACTGCTAAACAGTGACATTTTGCCAAGTTAGAAACTTGGTGAAGCTCTATGGGGTCGTTAAACTGATAGAGATGATCCTACGGATCAAAATTCCTATCAAATGCTGGCATGTCGGGCATTCTAAACCTTGATGAGAGATGAGTAGTCAAAACTACCAGAGAAAAAGGAGACGCCTCAACGACTTGCCCCCACTCATTCTGCTGAGCTCTAAGTTGATCCAGAGCTCGTTGTAACTCTCAATTTGAGAAAGCGAAGCCACCTGGGGATCACTCTCTATAATGTGGGTTCTCTCCCTACAATTGTGATTAAGGAAAGACCGTAGATCAGACTCCTCCACGCCTCAGTCGGAGCCTTCGGCATACCTTGGCACATGCTGGCTGGAGCCATGTGAAGGCACTGAATGGCTTTGGGAGTTATCTCGACCTCCACAGTGGTCAAAACTAACCCGCAGATGATAGGTATTTCCTTCGCAGTGATGGTCGGAACCATTATTCTGACGATAATAGGAATCTCCATGCCATGTACTCTTGTGGGGGTGCCTATGCGATATGGCGTGAGATGGCTCATGATGTGACATATCGCAGTCGCAAAGCTACACGTATTCTACTTGCTTCACGACTGGTATTCATTGGCCCTTTTAAGCCTTTTGGCCCATTGTTAGCCACTTACTTTCTCTTATTTTTAAGCACTGTAGTGCGCATGGTAGGAGCTTTCGCTCGTTTCCACGCTTTAGCGCGACTACAGACGTTTTTGGAAGTGGTACTGCCTTGTTAGAATTGGGTGGTATGACCTGATCCAAACAATCTAACATTTGGTTAACCGTTTGGAGAGTATTGTTGAACCTCTCTAGGTAATTCATCATAGCTGGATCGAGCTGAGACGTCGAGGGGATGTCCACCACGGTATCTTGGAGAATTGGAGGTACTTCGAGAGAAGTAACATCCTGTACCCGGGGGATCTCCTTGTTTTTGGTGCTAGTTCGCTCGATTTCAAGACCACGAGCTATTTGTTCGCAAGTAAAACTCATTGATTAGAAATTTTGAATGAAGAGCGAATATAAAGTCATGCCCTTCTTCTAGTGCCAAACTGTTGATGCGTGATTTTGACACAAAGACCTGCACGTGCAAAGTGCTAAGCTGTTCTCAGAAATTACACGTGATATGATTAATTCAAGAGCTAATCAATATAATTGAATGCAAAGACTAAATAATAAATGAGAAATGATTTTTAAAGTAGTTCGGATGGTTAAAGCGATTCCTACGTCCACTGTTTCTTTTATATATGAGAGATTACAATAAGTCACGTACAACGAACAACGAGCAGAGGTACAATAACTGAGTATTCAGAGAGAATATCAAGTCAGTCTCTTTCTCGTAAGTTATCTTTGCTCTAAAAATAAAGATTACAATCAAAATTAGAATGAAGGTTCAGGATTAGAATCCCTAAAACGAGGGGGGAAGTCCTCTATTTATAGTAGAGGAATTCAAGATAATTATTACAAATTTGTAAGTAGGTAGGTGCCGTGCAAGTCCTTCCTTACCTTCCATTGGCTGATAACGTAGGAAATATTCTCAAATTATCTGGGGCTTAGAGAGGCATGTGCTCCTTAATCAATCATAGACAAAACTTGAATCTGCTAAATTGATGATAACTGTATTATTTCTGTCTTGGGTTGACGTGGTAGCACTTGGACGGTGTAAAGCCTTCTTGAACTCTGATTAGTGCTTGCTGATGTAAGCTTACGTTAGGTTTTTTAAGCATTAGAGGGTTCAATGTCATACATTGATGATTCTCCTCAATTGTGACTCCCAGCTACTTTGTTTGTTAGGCATATGCATTTTATTTATTGATGTAAAAGATAGTCAAAACTCAAAACTTCTATTTTATTAATTTTAAGAAAATATAAAACTCTCCCATGAGAAAAATAAAATAAATTAAATATGGGCCTTTTATGTTTTTATGTAAACATAGAAATCAGAGTAACAGTAGTAAAGATTAAAAACAGAGGGACAACAAGCCTAACAACACCTTCCTCACCCTCTCATTCACCTGCAACCCACACCCACCTCTTCATTATCACCCATTTTTCTTTATTTTACTTTTTCTCTTCTTTATATCTTCTTCGGTGATCTCAAGATTGAATTTTATGGGAGGATCAATAGAATGACTTATCTACTACCGCCATTTAATTCCTTCACCACATCCTTCTCTTGGTGCGTTTTTTTCATCATATTTCTCTCTTTATCGCTTGCTCTTTTAGGACAATACATGAACAAAAAGTAAAGGAAGGAAATAAATTAGGAATTGATGATACTGACTTGTATTGGATGGTTATACAAAAGCTCTGGTGAATGTGTACCGTGCAAGCAAAACTTCTTCTGTTTTTATTATTGTTTTTGTTGTTGCTCGTTTAAAGGTACCGGTTAGAACAATTTCTGGGTTCAATTTTGTTTATCTTGTTGTGTGAATGGTTTGTGTTTGTTATTGAGGTAATTTTTCTTCTGGGTTTTTTAATTTTTCTTTAAAATATATTTATTTATTGATAGATTGAAGGGTTCTCTTAGTTTTCATCAGCAGTTGATTGTTCATTCTCACTTTACATATATATATATATATGTTGTGATGATTTATGTTGTTTGAAGGTGTGATTTTGTATTACAGTTGTGTTGAGCTATATTTCGATCAATTTGAAGTGCTATGCGAAAGTTGTTAACATGTTAAGGCAACTAATTTTTGGTTTGCAATTTCTTTTGTTCAGGTGTATGTATTGATTTTCTGGGCAACTATGAAGTGTATGAGCTTCATTGCTTGCTGGTATGGAGGTCAGAAGATTTGTGCTACTCGCATTAGTTGGATAGATAGGAGGTGCTTGGCTTTCAGTATACAGTCTTATAAGGAAGTTGAAGTTGAAATGTGGACACCTTTGGTAGATACATAGTACTAGCTTTAAGTGTTATTTAGGAGATGCATTTGTAGGGATTACCTCTAGTTTAATTGTTGCAATATTTATGGCATAATTTGGATCTTTTCATTTTAATAGACAGAAGAATATAGGTAATAAATTATCAAGACTCAGCTGAAAAACAGTGAATTGAATGGCAGTAGAGAGCTAAATATACACTAGAGAAGGGGGGGAAAAGAAGAGGAAGAAAAGGAAAAATAACTTAAAATTTTACTGATGGGTTTGCCGCAAGTGTCCTCTAGTGATAGTGATGAGGAAGTTGCAGCAACATCATTGGGCTCATTTTTGCAAAGCCCACCACGATTTGCTGGTGCAAGCACCTGTGATTTGGATGGAATTCATGAAGGAAGTATGAGCCAAACAGTTATGGATATCCCGTGCTCCTCTTTTGGAGATTTCCAGAGGAAAGCATCCTTGGAATTTTCCAAGTTTTCTGATGGATCATTTGGATTTGGAGGGTCAAATGATGCTCTGCCCAGTGTTCAGGGGTTCAAGATCGGTTCTGCAGATAAAGGTGGTTTGTTTACTCTTAAAAGTGGACGGAGTATCCAAGACCCTGTGTCTAGGATTGTGGGTTTTGAATCACGTGGAACAAGTTCTCTAGGTAAGGAATTTAATGGAGCTTCTTCTGATGATGTTCATTCTTCTTCTGTTGATCGCTTCACAGTTAGTGGAACTGAGTCCAGTAGGTCATTAGTCAGAAAGCGATTGTTGTCACCTTTAAAGAGTATGCTTTTACCGGACCAATTTAGCGGAGATCTTCTGGACGTTGGCTTCAGCAATTCTCAAATGTCTTTCTCTGCTGGGGCTGACAGTTCTAGCATTTCAGTATCGCAAGACCATAAGAAAGTAAATGTTGGAAGCAAAATCCCCTGCACTGCACCATCTTGGTCCTTATCCAGTTGCTTGGATATGCCATCTGATAACAGAAGAAGAACATCCATTTTTTTTACAGATGGCCCTTTGCTGGAAAACAATGAGCCAAGCAGTCATAATAATTGTTCGAATATACCTGGACTTGATCATTTCAATGAATCAAGCAAGGTAAGACCTCGTAGTGGGGTGATATCTATATCCCCCAAAAAGCCGATCTCACCTTCTGTTTCGTTGTCACCTCTCGGTCCAAAGTTGTCTGAAAGAATAGAAACTGCTGGAAAATACAGGAAGGTTAAGAAAGAGATAGAGAATTGTTGTTCATCTTTAAAGAATTTAGAGGAGTCTATTGACAAATGTGACTCAGGCATTATCTTTGGCCCCATAGAAGGCGAGTTTAGGTCTGGAACCCAATCATTTGAAGGTGTTCACAAAGAGTTTCATCCATCTTCTTTGGAAAGCACAGCTGGCATGAGTTGGCCTTTGAGTCAAGAGTCACCCCCCACAGCCCACTGCTTTAGGTTCATTAGAAGTTTGAGCGGACTCTCGGTAAGAAGGTCCCTGGTTGGTTCATTTGAGGAATCCCTTTTGTCTGGACGTTTAATTTCTGGAAAATCCAGCCAGGTTGGTAGTTTTGTTCTGTTACATAGGCAATCATGTGTTTGATTATTACTGAGCTATTGGGTATTGTTCATTGCAAATATCTGATGTACTTCTTCTGCTTGTTGTTGGCATCAATGTGTGCAGAGAATCGATGGTTTCCTTGCTGTACTTAGCATTACTGGGGGCAATTTCTCGCCACAATCACAGAAGCTTCCGTTTTCAGTGACCAGCGTGGATGGAGACTGCTATTTACTCTATTATGCATCAATAGATCTTGCAGGAAATTCATCAAATAAGTTCAGGGCCCACAAACTGCAAAAAGGTCTTGGACATGATGATTCACAAACTGTCAAAAGCTGTTTTCGAATTCCTATGAAAGGGAGAATACAACTGGTACTTTCATATACTCTGGAAAGCAATTGCTGGTTCTTGATGCGTAAAACAGAATGCATTGATCTTAGGACAAGACAGTATTTCTTTCACCTCCAAAATTAACTGAAACAGTATTTTCATCAGAAGCAATTACACTTTGATTTTACTTAATGTTTTACGTGACTTACCATTAAGGCTTCAGAATGACGGAGGGAATTTTTGTTTCACCTTTGTTCATGTTTATTACGTGATAGCTTGATGAGCCGGAATGCCCTGCTGCACTTAATTGTATCCTTCGGAAATTTGGCTATTTTAGTTGCCCATAACTTGAATTTGTGCTTGTATTGCTCTAGTGAACTAATATTTTACTAGAGAAAAGGATCTTTTAGTTGATGCCACACTGTATCATCTAATAGAGTTACTTAAAGTTCTGTTTTATGATCTCTTAGGCCTGTTCTCTTAGTTTTCATAATTAGATGGTACATGCGACAGAGGTTTTGGAATATGTTTAATGGTAGATTTCAAGTGGTCTTCTGTTATGAACATTATGTAGGGAATGGCTTTCATTTACTCTTTGAATTGTTTGCTTTCTGCAGGTTCTCAGCAACCCGGAAAAGACACCTGTTCACACTTACCTTTGCAACTATGATTTGAGTGACATGCCAGCTGGTACAAAAGTAAGCTGGAGTAAGCCCTTCATTTTGTCTTTAAATTATAACATTGTTTCTGATAGGATAAATGCTCTGACTTCACTTTGTTCGTTTTGAATATTCTTTTTCGTAACTAAAGATGTGAAAAAGGCAATTAGTATTTAATGTTGTCTTCTCATAAATTGCAATGTCAGTATCATCTCTCTCTCCTAAGTGAATTAATTCTAAAAATTGAGTTCTTTCCCTAATGAGAATGGTTTAATATGTTTTGTTTATGGAAGCAAAAACTTTAGTTTGTATTGGTAGTAGTTTCAGTAAACTTAAAAGATATCATATCTTATCATTTTATGCAAGTTATAAGTCTTCATTTCTTTGTGATATTATTGTTATCTGATTACTATCTTCCCTGCCTTATTACTGTTCAAGACATTCTTGCGTCAGAAGGTCACATTAGCCTCTGGCGTAACATCTACAGAGATGAAACGGGGACAGATAGGTTTGGACACCAAAGTAAAAGAAAAGGTAACTGTAGTCTCAGAGAAAAGCTACCATGTCAAGTGTAGTAGAGAATTCTCAAATTCACTTAGAGTTGACATGACTGTGCATTCTGTTGACCAGAATGGTGAAGTTAAAGAAAGTGAAGGTTCTAATTTTGTGGATTCACTAGATAAAGGAAATCCAACCAATCAATCCCAAAAAGTCAGAAGCATTCCCTCCTATATCCTTGAGAATAAGTGCAATAATGGTGTGTGCCAGAAGATTGATCAGAAGGACTACACCTGCATGGGTGCATGCCATGGAACCAACAAGAAATCAAGTCATGGTTGTTCAAAGGTTAATGAAAATGGTACTGGTGCTGGTGTTCTGCGTTATGCTCTTCATCTCCGTTTTTTATGCCCTTCTCCTAAGAAATATTCTAGTTCAGTTCAGAAATGTAAATCTCTACCACAAAAAGCATGCTTAGACTTGGAAAGGGAACGGAGGTTCTATTTATATAATGACATGAGGGTTGTATTCCCTCAACGCCATTCAGATACTGATGAGGGCAAGGTATGTGATTTTGGTTTCATGCATAATAGTTTTTAGAGAGCTTTTCTGAAATTTTATTTTCATATTGTGTTGTGTTAATGCTGGCAAAATTATTGGAGAATTTAGTTGCTATCTTGAAAGTATATGATTGTGGGCATGTGCTGGTTAAAATCCTGTATCCATGTCTCAGTTTCTTGGACTGTCGCTTGGTCCTGTGTAAACTGAAAAAAGGGGCAAGAAAACGATGAGTTGTTTTTTTTGTTTTCAATGCACTTTGTACCATTCTTAGATTGTAATTGTTTAGATAGATTTTCTTTTTATTCTACTACCAATGAAATGTGGCCTTAAATCTCATCTTGGCCTGAGGAACTTAAAGTTCAGCCCCAAAAAAAGAAAAAAAATAACCTTCAATTCATAGAACTTGTTAACCTGTTTATAGACTTGTGAATGGAAAACAAATGAAAAAATGGGCGGTCTTTTCTTGGTTTGGCATTTGAAGTGAGAACGATAAAACTAGTGGCCTCTGCTTTCACTGCTTGTTAGTTGATTTTTTTTTTTAAGGTTGTCATAAGCTTATGGTGTCCGCTGGTAGGTTGTTCTTGGATGAAGTGTCCTCACTAACAAGCTTCAAATAGAGATGAATTGACCCTTAATGTGAACATTTTACCTGGATATGAATATATTAGTTAAATTTCTATGCATGGAATTCTTTGTTTTGGTTATGTATGTAAAAAAATTTTATGATTTTTTTTTTTTTTTTTTTTTTGGTGTGAATATATATAGTTAACTGGGGTTTTTTGTGTAATGGCAGTTGAATGTGGAATATCATTTCCCAGAAGATCCGAGATACTTTGACATCGGCAACTGAAAATGTCTAGTATAACTCACCAAATATCATGCTTTCTTTGATTGAATTTGTAAATAAACAATACATGTTCTTTGTTAGTCATCTCATCTCGAAATGGCACTAACCCTGATCAACAACTTGTACAGATTTTCATTTCTCTAATAATTTGATGGGTTAATACATTTTTACTTGGCAGCATTCATTAGTGATATGTTTTGGTAATGGATCCTGAATTGAAAACCCAAATGTTAATGAGCTTTATTTTGAAAAGTACTGGACTACTTTTGAGAAGTTTAGTGTAGGTTTTGGACCAAAGGTAATTAAGGACCACATTGGTCTGTTGCAATGCTGAAATGTCAGTGCAATTCAGAGCCCACTACTCAAGCTGGGTTAAAAATTCGTAACCCAGGATTTCAAGCCCCATTCGTAGTGATCTGGGTGTACTGCATTCCAATTAAGCTTTTTTATATCTTAATATTTTCAATATTTAAGACTTATTAATTATAATTCAAAATAAATATTTGAATCCATTTCAATAAAACATGTCTTCATATAAATTTTTTTTTTTAATAAAAAAGTAATTAAATTAGGACGTCTTTGAATTTTAATTTTTGAAATATGAGGGAAGGGACATTGAGCAAAGATGCAGAAGCCATTTGGTGAAGAAATGCTAATTGTGTGGCAGTGGCAGTTTTATTTGTCACGTGATAAACTGTGTGTCCCAAATGGTTTGTTATTGTATGGTCCAACTAGTTACTGGGCAAATAAAGCAAAAAAAGGAAAAGCTGCCACTAGTTGAACTAAACAACAAATTGTGAAGTTGCATCTTAGAGTTAGAGTTAGAGTTAGAATGAGGAATCATAAACACAAAATTAGAAAGAGATTGAGAACTCCAATATACAACCAGCCAACCTAGAACTAACCCATTACAAGAAACCCTACTCTAATCTCTTATCATCATGTCAATCTCTTCAAAGTGTCTCATCCATCTGCCCCTTCATTATATTATTCCTGCTCTCTCACAGGCCGAATATTGATTTGTTTTGGTAACTGATTTGTTCTCGATCACCTGCTTTTTTGGTTGTACTACTGCTGAGCTGTTTGTATTGTGTGAGCCTATAATGGCTGACACAAATAACACACACTCAGTCACAGAGTGAACGGAGGTAACACTGTCGCCACTTCTTGTCTTTCCCAATCTGCCCCCCTTCTCCTCCTTTCTATTTCTCATATTCTTCTTTACTCTTTCCTTCATGCCTTATTCTCTCTGTGTTCTGGGACGTACACGTTCAGATAGATCATCCCACCAAATTTCATGACTTCATCACTTTCTTTGCTAATAGGAATATTCATTTTGTTAAAAATTCATGCAAAGAAGGGGGCATTTGTGTCTATTAATCCTCGACCAATCACATCCCAACAAGTTTTTATAACAGATAGAAACAAAAGCTTAAAACCCCATATAAACACCTCTCACTCCCACTCCCACTCCCGCTCTCACTCTGGCCTTCGTATAAACTTCCCTCACTCTCACTCTCGCCTTCGTATAAACCTCCCTCGCTCTCACTCTCACTCTCAGTCTCACCTTCGTTTCATTCTGTTCACTCCTTCAAAATGGCAGACCGTAACGTTTACCATTTCCTCACCTCCAACAATCCAAGACCCACCAAACGACAAGCTCATCACCCTCACCAACATCAACAACCGCCGCTACCTCCCCCTGCACCACCCACTGCCACCCGCCTCTTTCAATGTCTCTATTGTCCCAGAAAATTCTACAGCTCTCAAGCTCTGGGTGGCCACCAAAATGCCCACAAGCGTGAGCGAGCAGCTGCACGTCGAAACTTGAACTATCCATCCATTAACATTGAGGTTACTTCCCCACCCATTTTTGGTTCTCGTCTTCCAACCCACCAACTCCCTTCTTTAGAGCACCACGCTGCACCCCTGCTCGTTGAGCAGTTCCAGCAACAGCAACCTGCACCCTTCTTCGTTGAACAGTTCCAACAACAGCAACAGTACCAGTACCAGTACCAGTATGGGCCGTACCAGTACCCGTCCACCTCCGTTCCTCCTCACAACGTTACTTATCACGGTTGTGGCTCCATTACGCCTCCTACCGTTATCACTCCCGATGGTTCGTCTCTCCCACCCGCTGATAATGCTGACAAAGCCAGCTAACTTGATCTCACCCTCCACTTGTAATGGTTTTTGTTTTTTGTTTTCTTGGGTTATTTGTTTGTTGTTTAATGTTGAGTTGAAAGTTTGAGATTTGGCACTTTACATTAGCTTTTATATTTGATGGTTACGTTACTGATGTGTTTATCATCTTCATCATTATTATTTCTCTCTCTCTTTTGCTTCCCCGTGGATTTGATATTCTTTACTCGTAGTATTATCCTAAAATGCCCTTTATCTTTAATCATATTCTGTATACTGGTACGTATGGTGTGTTGGGGGAGAAGCAGAAGCTGGTGCATGAAAAAAGGATAAGGGTAAATGGGTAATATATGGAAATGAAGTTTCCAAAAACGAACGACTAAAGAGTGCTCTCTCAGTGTCTGGTAGCTACATTTGGCTTTATTTAGAAGACTCAATCTAGGCCCTACGATTGCAGGCATGAATTAATGATCATATATAAGTTGTTGGATGAAACCCGTGAATTAAATGAAGAGTTTAATTTGTAGTAGTCATGAACTAACTTAGGTTAGCGTGGCATTCAGATTCAGTTATTTTTTTGGTGAAGCTGACAGATAAAATGAAATGTTGCCAAAGTTTGTTAAATAACAGTTGACAGTGGCATGACATGTGTACCTGTACCATACAAAACGCCCATCATCCGTATTTGGAATCATATTTGTCTGACATGTGGCAGTTTCCTACTGTTGACGTATATGAGAAAACAAAGCTGAACTAGAGTCACAAAAATATTGGTTTTTATTTATATCAAGTCATTGGCTTAAGAAAACAAGATGAATCAGAAAAATGGTAATCAAAGCTCAAATGTGGGAACTTCAGACGTAAAGCCATGAGTGGCCTTGTGAATAAAACGAGCCAATATATTCCTGTAAGGATCTTTTTCTCTTTTCTCCCTTAAATAAGCAAGACATTTCTCAACTTCTGATTTCACTTCTAAATACAATTCCTGAGCCTTCTTCCTGTCTCTTAATTCACTCTCCCTCCCTTCAAAACAAATTAACAGTTGATGAACATAATTATGTCAAGGGCCGGGTAGGAAATGAAAGGAGCATATATACCTTGTGTTTGAATTGGTTTTCCAAAATAATAATAGAACCTGCCTGGAACTTTTGGTATACAATATGGCATGTGGACTGGCTGGTTTGCCACCTCGCCTATCGTATCACTCCTACATGATCACATGATTTTTGAGAAATATTTGATAACCAGAAAAAAGGAAAATGGGCTCTAACTGTATTATATACCTCAACTTCACTGTCTCGTTTGTCTTTTCTTCTATTCCTGACCGAAAAAAAGGGATCTTCTTTTGGTCATCATAATCAAAAACTACCTGAGAATAACGACTATGCAATAAAATTTCCATGGAGGCAAGTGAAGAAGATGCGATAAATATGAAAAAAAAAAAACAGTGAATTCATAAACAAAGCCATAGGTAAATGCAAGTAATAAATATCTCATGGGAACTGATAATTTTTAACGGTGACAGTGATGAACAGAAGAATATAGTTATCAAGCTTACTTGAGCAAAATCATCTTCGCCAACAGCACCAAATGGTATGATTTTGGCTCCAAATCTCGTTGCCATCCTCACAAATTCAGATGTTTCTGGCCAGAATAACTTGTATTCTTCACCCTGAAAAATATGAGGAATTATCAGGTAAAAATTTCAGTGATTCAATTCTAATTTCTAGATATCCATTATTTGTACATAGTCATGTTTCTTGATGAAAGCAGATAACAAATCTGTCAGCTTAACATCGTAGAAATTAATTACATTTCCTTCGATATGCGACTATCAGGCAGAACACATTTTGGTTACCTTCCGATGAAGAGCTTCTCGCATGCCTCCTGGATACAATAGGGCATGAGATTTTGAAGCCATAAGTTTATAGAGATTTTTCCCTGAGACAGGAACTGCACCCATTGCTCTGAATATGTCAAATGTTCCTAAATCTGGTAACTTTCCTTCTCTCAACTTGAAGAAAATCATTGGATGTGCTACTCCTCGAACAAGAATGTTTCTCTCAATCATAAATTGTGGTATCATTGGAGCCAATTCTATTCCTATTAGATTGTGATATCCAACGAACAATACTGGTCCCTCTGCAGGAATTCCAGAAAGCTCCATCACAATTTTCCCATCTTCTAAAGTTGAGAGCATGACAGGGCTAGTAACACTAGTAAACCATCTGAAATTAAATATGTTTTAGAACAAAAACTTTAGTTGGTAACTGTAAGTGTTTATAGTATAAGAATGTTACCTGCTCTGTTCATATATTTTATTAAATTCTGTAATAGTTGGTGGCATGTAATCAGAAACATAGTCGACGTTTCTTCCACGGCGATAGTAACTCGCAGATTTGATGATGGTTACCAAATCAACTCCATTTTCCTGCGACACGCGACATCTTTTAAAAAAGAAAGATATAGGGGCGGGCCGGCAGACATTATGTTCATGAACACTAAATTTGATAAATTAATAAAATTCAGTACTTCTTCTCTGTCTTTCAGGTAAGTTTCTGAGACAAACACTATTGGAAAAGAGGGGAGGTGAGAAGGAGATCGTCCTACCAAGAAGAGAAAATGTCCATTGTCATCAAAACTGCGGGTTTGACATTTTGGAAGTGCACGGCGAAGTCTTTGACCTTCCTCTTGACTTGGCAGCAACTGATCCCTTCCACTGTATATAAAAGATAAACAATAAATGAACTCAACAAACTTCCCTGAAAAGAATCACAAACTCAAACCGAAAGAAAAGGTCTGTGGAAGATCAGATGAGTTTTATAGATAGTTTTAAATTCCACTCTTAATTTCATACATCAACATGAAGACAGGGCCAACATAGATAAATACTCATCAACATGACAGGACTCCGTTTGGTCCAATCATAAATTATTACTAAAGTAATTGGATTGTGCCAAAGAGTTAGGACCTGCAAAGTATGAGCGTTTGAGCTTTTACAGCTTGAAGACGTGCATTGGCATATGCAGAAGCTGATTTAAGCAACTCTAGCTTCCAGAGGAGCGTTTCTTTAGGTAAGATATCCGTCAGAATCTGTTACTTAAATGATCAATAACATTGACTGCACAGGATAAGTATAATACAACTTGAGCATCAATATAGAAGTATATATACAGGAAGGTTAGATGACAATGCAACAAGATCCTGTGACAAGTCTTCGATTTTTGTTTGGCGAAAAAGGCCTTTCATCACATTATCCCTTGCCGTCTTCATGGGATCACCTAAGCAAAATATTCATAAGGGCAATGAATTTGCTAACAGCTCATAATACAATGTGATCGAGACTAATTAGAATTGTTTCTAGTAGAAATTTCAATCGTTTGAATGCCAGCAAACAATTTTACAAGAAAACCAACTTTTAGGAGGAATTAAAGAATTTTTTTTACTTAAATTCCAAGCATTACTCAAGTACCCAGATGAATATTTGCTTCTTAAACAAGTAAATATTTTGTAAAAACAAATATTTGGAGAAACATGAAAGCAAACCTTTCATTAAACTGAGGATATAAGACAAGGTAAGAGTTATTTGGCCTGGCATGAGTACCAGTAAAGGTTCTGTGGATTGCAGCACTGACTTGCTAAAAGACGTACCTGAAGAAAACACCAATTGTTGAACTTGAGAAAGCGAAGTGGAAATGGATTGTTTAAGCATATATTTTCCACTTTAATTAAACATTACATTAACCACTGAACATTGAAGCACCCTATTAGTATACATTATATGTGCATGGAACTGAGAATGATGTAGAGAAGAAGCACATTATGTTATGAAGTAATTAAGGAGAAAGTAACATCTCACCTGGATTAGCCAAAATTAGAACAAGATCTAGATCAGGATTACGAGCTGCAACAGCAAGTGCAAGGCACGCTCCAAGAGAATCCCCCACTATATATATTGGTTTGTTTGGTGACCGAAAATTCTCTGACCTTACACTTTTTTCTATCATCTTCACCAATCCTGATTATCAACATTATTAAACATCACATTAACAGTAATATTCATGTAGAAACTTGCTTAATTTGCAAAATGTACACCTGTAAATGATGTCCGATCCTTAGCTGGAATATGCAAGCACCATACATCAAATATCCTACATATTAAATTCATCAACCAACCAAAAAATCCATCATTAAACCCACAATTATTAAAATCCAATAATTCTAAATCCTGATAGATACTCACTTTCCCAGAAGTTCATGCTGTCTTATCAGTCCAAGTCCCACACCGTCAATCCCTGAAATCATAACCAATATTCATTAATATTAATCACTTTTCTTATATGAATTATTCATGCATGCACTTATTATAAACCACAAATGAAGAAGAGGTAAGTTTGAGCATAAAAAACAAACCAGGCAAGTAGAAGAGGACAGGAGAATCAGAAGTATGTGACTCGCATTCTAAAGGAGAGAACCAGCGAGGCGGACCACTGTCTGATCTTACCATATTTTTGGCTTCATCAAAATAATTTTTCAAACTCTTTCTTTTACGTTCATATTCCTCTAATTCTTCCTCCTTCAGTATCTTTATCGTCTCACCTTCTTCACTACTCTTCTTCTTCTCCTCCTCCACAAAACTCCGCCTCCTCGATGTCGTCGTTTGTGTTCTCAATGTTGTCGTTGCTGGTGGTCTCTCCTCCGTCCACAGAGCTACTGGCTTTATATTTGGATTCCCTTTTGGTTTGCCGGAAGTTGACGTCATGTCTCGACGGAATACCCGCGATAAATCGGCCGAGAAAATACAAGCTCCAATGGTGGCCATGGAGAAAATTAAACTCAGTATTCTCCGTGACTCTTAAGAGTTAATATGTTAAACAGGAAGTGAAAATGATGGGGTGACAAGACAATGGCGTTTCATAAAATTCAAACAGAAATGACAAACTGGCGGCTGTAGGTCCGGAGGAGAGATCGCCCGGAGGTGTTTGTATGTTTTTAGTGAGTTCATTGTTTTCAACCTTTGTTTAATATTCGCACAGCATTTATTTACTGCACTGGTTTGTATCGATTAGTTTATTATATTATTAATTTCCACGTTGTGACATTGAATAATAATATATGGAGAATTATTATCAAGAATGTCAGTTAATTATCTCGATCCAAAAAGTCTGATTGAAAGAAATGGTTACCAACTGACACAGACTCTTTCGTCTTTAAGATACCTTTATAATATTTTTTATGTATGACAACAACGTTCAACCAAGAGGTCCACGACCATATTATTGATGAATTTAAAAGAAAAATAAAGTCACAAAGTAAATGTCATTACCATCAGTTAGCAAGCAACCTTTTCCCATAATATTTATCCCCCCCACCAAAAAAAAAAATAAAAAAAATAAATATCTAGAAGATTAAGAAAAGTTAAAAGTCAACCATGTGTCTTCCAAATATTGCATCTCGAGTGTCACAGAAGGGCCAAGAAAATTATGCACAAATTGAATAAGACAAGCTCGGGTCTTTGATTGAAAATCAAAGTGTCAATTGCTTAATTCAAGCCGTTGATTTATGCTAATGGCTAAAATTAAGCTTTGCTTGATTCAATCAAGCAAAGGTCAATTTATGATGTATAGCATCAGCTTTGTTGTATTTGAAATTGCTACTCGTAATGTTTGGGATCTTGTTTTTCCAAAACTATGGAGACTTTATGCTTTTATACGTATTTTTTTTACGTTGGATATTTAATAGATTTCAAAATTAGTTGGATCCTTTAAGATTTAGAAATCTTCTAGGAGGCATTAATCCTATTGGGCATGTCCAATGTTTTTGGCTCTAAAGAGGAGTCTCTTTTATGCTGTAATTCTTTAATTCTTTTATAATATTACCCAAAAAAAATGTAATCCTATCACATATTATTTGAGACATATTCTAGGGGGCAAATAAAATTAATCCTATCACATATTATTTGAGACTTTTTTAATTTTAGAGCATACAATATTTTAATCTTAATAATAATTTGTAATTTTAAAAATCAAATACTTTTTAACCAAGGGCTAGACCCAAGAAGGGTCTAGTAGAGGCTGGTGTTCCCTTAAAAAAAAATTATTAATTTTTCTTTTTAAATGCTCAACTTTTTTTCTAATTTGCAACAATTTATTTTATAAATTGACCCGCTTTTCTAAAATAAAACCAACTTTTTTTATTGTTTGTTAAACAAATAAGGTTTTACATTTTATTTAATTAAATATATTTTAAATCCTTTTTGGGAATTGTAAGCCAAGTAAAAACTGAAAAAGAGAAATTGAATATTCCTTGTCCCCTCTTACGTTATTTTATCATAAATTTATATTTAACTTGCCTCGTTTAAGATTTAACCCGGGAGCCCTCCTAGTTTTTTACTCATTTTACACTTGTTTTCACACTCAAATTTGATTCTATTTTTTTTTTCATTTTAAATTAAAAAAAAAAAAAAAAAAAACCGTTTCTCTAATCTTAGCAGGGTTATAATAAATTCAATTTTTCATATGAGAACTATGGCTAATTTTACCTTAACCCTCACGAGTTTCAACTATTTTAAGTCCCTACTTATTTCATGAATTGATCTTAGCCCCCATTCTATTAAAATTAATAGTTATACTAACTGGAAGTCTGGTAAACTGGTTATTTTCATTTTACATGAAGGGCATTTAGGACTTTTCACTCTTTACCAAGAACCCTAGGATTTTCTTTCACCTTTTTCCCCTTCTTCTTTTCCTCCCTTCTTCTTTCTTCCATCTCTCGCTCTCTCTCCTAGGGGTGTTATCGAGTTGAGCTGAGGAGAGCTTTGGGGAGCTTGAGATTGCAAAAGTGTCAAGATTCTAGAGCTATGAATGAGGTGATAGAACAACGTCGTTCATGTGGAACGGGCTAAAGGAATGGTCATTCCTTCTTACATTGCAAATGATGTTCAGCTCGTGAATGTGAATTAGCCTTTTTCGAATAAGTCTTGATATGTATAGAATGGCTTGCTAGAACGGTTGTTCAGTTTGGTTGTTCCATTTTTGACTTGAGTTTGCTTGAATGAATTTTTGCTTCACTTTGGACAGATTTATGAATAGGCATGAGGGAAGATGTCATTCCAAAGTGGAACGGCTTAACAAGAGATTATTTTTAGAAAACCCGAATGGAATGAGTGTTCCATCTACGTGGACTGTCATTCTATTTGAAAAATCTACATTTTTGTTTTGGTTATCATGACTTGTCATAACTTTGTACATTGTTAGTCCATTAATCATTCTTTGATTAGTTTTGGCATATCAAAACACATGAGGGCTCAACACAGTCCCTTATTCCATCAACCACTTAGAAATGGAATCATCAATCTGGATACCATCGTGAGGAGGAGGTATATGAACAAAGATAAGAACACGTTTCCTAAACCTCCAATTACTATCTATAAAGTGCCCGGTCAGAACCATGTACTCAATCTTTTGATTACTTGAATTCCATAAATTTGTTGTCAAGCTTGTTCTACTAACACTGCTCAACAAAGTCTTCAACTTCTTATTCTCTATCTCATACACCCTCACACAATCGTTTTTAACAGTATGGTGCTATATCTTTTTTCATTCCGGCATCCCACTTTTTTTGCATATTGTTAAAACCCTCCTCCTCCACAATTGTAAGTGGATACTCATGCATAAGCACCCAATGCATGACTAGTTCCCTCATCTTTGTTATATCAAACTTGTCCTGTGTAATAGGCATCACACTTCCCTATCCCTTAACATCTGAATCTACATGCTGAAAAATAATCTGCTATTGCCTATGGAGAATTATTTGCCTCACACAACTTTTCAAATGCCTTTCAAAATGAGTAGTGCTCTTGGTTGAAGTAATTTGCAGCTTGGAATTACAATGGATGCACTTTGCCTTTTTTTTACTGTTAGGTAGAACCAGCTCTCTAAAGTCCTCCCAAATTGCAGATGTCTTAGCTCTTTTTCTCCTCTAAAATGGATTATCATCTTCAGTAGGTGAGCTACTGGTAGTAGAACAGTTGGACTTCCACCCGTATTAGCTACATCCTCGTTGAAGTTTTGAGGTTTAGTAGGTGAAACTGTATCATCCAACGTGGGTTGACTTGCCGATGAGTCCTTCATACCTATAATGGACACGACATGTTCAATTACAAACAAAAATATTTAATATAAGGTTGAAAGAGATGCCATTTACTAAAGAACTAAAAAAAAACTGTTGTCACAGTTGCACACACTGTAGTTGTGGGTAGGCAAGTGTCCCCCGCTGCAATCGTGCGCAGTTGCAGTTGCATATGCACTAGTTGGGGATTTTTCCCAAACCGGTGGTGGGAAGTTGGATATAGCTAAAAAATCTTTTTCCAGCAACCAATCCTTACTTTAAGAACAAATAACAATTTAAGAACAAATAAACAACCAATATACAACAAATATAGTAATATGCAACAAATATACAACATGTAAAGTTCGAGAATCTGGAGAAGAAGAAAGAGGCATGTGAAAAATTGAAGTACCTGTGTCGTTAGCATCGTCAGAGCGTTAGGTCAACGGATTTGACAGAGAATCTCAGTGGTCGGAGTTGCAGCGAAACGAGAGAGGGACTTGTTTATTAATGAGGTTTCTCACATCAACAAAACTGATAATTTTCTTTTATGTATATATAGTTTGGAAAAATTAATTTCTTGTTCCGCCCCTAATGTTTAGGATTTAGTATCTCTAATTCCTATCTAGAATGCATTGTACTTATAACAAGTATCACATCAATTCTAATTTTGAGTATCACATCAATTCTAATTTTGATTCAATTTTGGTGATATAATTGATAAATTATCTTAAAATTTCCTTTATATAATTAATTTGATAGACAATAATATATAAGTTCACAAATCAATATAGATTTTTTTTAGTAATATATAAACTGATTTGATATTGTTCTGTATCATGGCATGGAAATGGATACATGATTGATAGTCATTTGTTGCATTAACTTTTTTTTTTTTAATTATATAGTTTATATATACACATGTTTGGTAGCTTGTATTGTAATGTACCCTGGATTTAATTTACATTAGAAAGGTCTAGCCTGTTACAGCAAAACGCCACATATTTTGGCTGATCCGGCTACTCCACTAGGTAGATCGTTCAATGGTCCACCCAATGGAGTGGAGTGATGTCACAGGATGCGCCTTTGGTGACGGCGTCCAACTACTGCAGCGGTTGATGTTCGACTACCACTCTATCGGCCATTTCTAATTTTTTATTATATTATTTATTTAATTAAAAATCATTTATAAAAGAAATTACAATTTATATTAACTTTAAGGTGTTTTTGGTAATTACTCTTTCAAAAGCAGTTTTTGAATTCTAAAAGTTACAAATTGCTACTTTTGAAATCATTTTATAAAACCGGTTATTTGGTAATCAGCTTGTCCTATAATCATTTTTCAAATTAGTTTATCAAACATTTTTTGGGTTTTAGATTATTAAATAAGTGGTTATGAGAGAAGCTACAGAAACCCCGAACTCACCCTTAAAATGATGAAAAAACCAAATCAAATTAGTTTCAATCAACAAATGAAGAAATTTACAAGGAGGGAACTTGATGTTAATTTATTTAAATTTATGTAACACATATATTAAAAAATGTTCAATGTTTAAATAAAAACATATAGGATTTTGTAAATAATTAGATATTTACTAAATTATTAAAATATATAAACATATATTTATGATACTTTTATATAGTAAATATAAT